TTTCATAGGCACACGCAGAAACCGTTATATGCTCTACAGTACATCTTGGCTCTGAAAATACATCAGAGCCTTTTAGAATTGGAAAGGCAGAAGGGTTTGGGCTAGAGTACCTGGGTTCTCCTGCCCTTACTCATTTAGAGAAAAAAATACTAAGGTATCTTTCATGGTAACTGGGGATTCCATAGTGGGGAATGTCTGCTTAAATGCTTCCCCAAGAAGTAAGAGCTAAAACAGAGGGAACTGTATAGGTATTTTATATTCTCTACTGTAGCATTTATAAGGCTTATGTGTTTGAACTTTTAGGCTCTGTTAAATTAAGTATAACACAACAAATTAAATACCACTCCATTTGATTCACTACAAATATATCTTTCCAATTCAATTCTCCAAGGATATCTAAAGATAGTAAAGTGAAAAGGATTAGAATTTGGGATATATATAAAACCAATGGTGTTTCTCCATTTAAAATAGCTCAGAGAATTACAATAATTATTAATTTAAAAAGAAGCAGCCAAAGATCATGGAGATATATATATATATATATATATATATATATATAGATATAGATATAGATATAGATATAGATATATATATGTATGTATGTATGTATGTATGTATGTATGTATGTATGTATATATATATGTATGTATGTATGTATGTATGTATGTATGTATGTATGTATGTATGTATATATACCTGAACTCGATCAGCTTCCTAAAAAAGTCATGGGGTTTTTTTTGGGGGGGGGTGGTTTGAAGCTATAGGGATTTCCATTTTCCCTTTAATTTTCTTGCCATGTCCATCACTGCTGAATTCCATGTTGTTTTCCCATCTTCCTCAGAGACTTCAGTGCTTAGCTCACAGTCTTCCCCTCCACTTCATTTTTCACTAGAAGATCCAAGAATTTTAAAACATATGTTGGTAACCCTTCAAACTAACTGTCTCAAATCTCAACACAAGTGAAGCAAGGCTGTGGTATGGTAGAGACTATACCAACTCTGGGGTCAGAGCAGGTGTGTTTAAGTCCCTGCGAGATCCTCAGGAAGTCACTTAATGTCGCTGAACCACAGTTTCTTCATCTATAAAATGAAAGGGCTGAACTAAATGATCTCTGAGGTCCCTTTCAGCTCTAAATTCTGTGATTCTATGATCCATGTCTAATCCACCCAATAGTAAAGCCATATTCTGTCTGACATAATTCAGAATGGTTTCATCCTCAAGATATTTTAACACTGAAATTCCTGTCTCTAACCACAAGTTTTTGTATTTATTTCCAAGATCAGAAACAACTCCCCAACCCCAAAATCAGTTTTTCTCCTTGACTATCCTATTTCCGTCAATTGCACTTTGTTATTCAGTTCAGTTACATGTGATTTTTTGTGACCCTATGGACCATAACTCCCCAGGCGCTTCAATCCTCCACTCTCTCTCAAAGTCTGTCCAAATTCATGTTCATTGTTTCCATTACTCTAACCACCTGTCTCATCCTCTGCTGTTCCCTTTTCCTTTTGCCTTCAATCTTCTCAATCTTCAATCTTCTGAAGAGTCCCGTCTTCTCATTAGGAGGCCACAGTATTTAAGCTTCAGCTTCAATATTTGACCTTCCAAGGAACATCCTCAATTAATTTTATTGACTGATTTGATCTCCTTGCTGTGTAAGAGACTCTCAGAAGTCTTCTCCAACGATGCAATTTGAAAGTGCTGATTCTATGACACTCTGCTCTCCTTATAGTCCAACTCCTACAACCATACATTTACTACTGGAAAAAACTATAGCTTTGACCATATAGACATATGTCAGTAAAGTGATGTCTCTACTTTTTAGTATGCTGTCCGGATTTGCCATAGCTTTCCTTCCAAGAGCAAGCATCTTTTAATTTCATGGCTACAGTCACCATCTGTAGTGATCTTTGAACCCAAGAATATAAAATTTGACACTGCTTCCATTTCTTCTTTCTCTATTTTCCAGGAAATGATGGGACCAGTTGTGATGATCTTAGTTTTTGTTTTTATTTTTTTACATTAAGCTTCAAGTCGGCTTTTACACTCTCCTCTTTCACCTTCATCAAGAGACTTCTTAATTCCTCTTCACTTTGTGCCATTAGAGTAGTATCACTGAATATCTGCTAGCTGCCCAGTTAATGGCACCACCATTTTCCAAGTCACTGTAACTAAAAAGCTTACCATATTTTTTGTCTCTTTTTTATTCTTGCATGCTACCTCCTTTCACACTTTCCTGTCCTCAGCAATTCAATCTATTGCTAGGTCCATCTGGTTCATGATGTAGTGGTAAACTGGGAAGGTATATGAGGGGAAAGCTGACTTAGTATTTTATATATAAAAAAAGTAGATAAGGAAATGAAATTTTCTGTGTGCATGTGTGTTTGAATTCCTTTTCACCTAGAGATGTTCCAGAAATACAGCTTTCCTTATTACCTTTAAAATTATTTAAATGGATTGTACAGTTCTTACTTTTCAGAAAACATATAAATAAATGCTTGGTTTTTAAAAAATGTATGCCCTAGCTTTTGAAAGATTCAGTAAGGTAGCCAGTTCTGTCCCTGTATCTCCCATCCCTTACCTCTCAGGGTATTATTTTCTAAGCATACACACACACACACACACACACACACACACACACACACACACACACACACACTCCATTTCATTGTCTGTTGCCCACATCTGTGCAGTGGTTACCACTTACTCATAGTATGGTTGGGGATTTCCATTTTGGCTCCTGACAACTGTCATTATGGCATGAATTCAAGGTTTAACAGAAATTTACATTTTCCATTCCCTGTTGCATCACATTAATAAAGAACTCAAAATCAAAATAAGCACCCTGGAGACAGCGGTGACGTGACCCAGGGATGCTGGACTACTGCTGTGAAGAGGACAGGAGTGGAAGGCTGCTATAGCAGTACCATAGCTTGGCTCCATTCTTTTGCCTTGTCATGTGCAACAACCCAACCACCTTCTCTCCCTGCCCCACCACTCTGTTACCATGGAGACTAAATTATACCAGTAGATCTTGTTCTGAAGGGTACACAATACTAAGCAAGGAGACTCTCAAGCTGGGGTGAAATGCTTATTTTGAAACTGCTATTTTCAACCTAAGTATTCCTCAAAATATGAATTCATGAAGGTAGCATACATTGGTCTAACTGAACAGTAATTACCTCATTACTGCATTATGAAGCTGGAAGTCAGTTGGCTGCTTTTGTAAGTGGATAAAGGAATAAAAATCAAGCTGGAACACTCCCTCTGGCAATGATCACAATACCCTTATGTGCTCTGTGTACACATCTGAATCAAGCAAAACCTTAGGTGTTTCTCAAGATGAGGTGGTGGAAATTTTGCCTCCAAGGATCTCTATTTTACCATACAAGGCAGCAAGTAGAATACGGAAAGGTAAGGGGTTGTTTGAAAGATCCTCCTTAAAACTTTAGGGTCATCATATGGATTTAGGGTATACTCCATGTTCCATTTTCTGTCATTAAATATCATGGCAGTGTGTAGTATTGTAAATAGTCCTGGATTCATATCAGAAAAACAGAGTTCTAGTTCCATCTTTGTTACTGTCTAGCTACGTGACTTGGGGTACACCACCCTTCTGGACTTCGATGCCCTTGTCTATAAATGAGGTTTTGACTTGATGATCACTAGAGTTTTTCTCAGTTCTCAAATTCTATAAATCTATGAAGTATGAATATAAATGAAGGAGGCCAGTTTCACAGATGGTGTGTGAAACCAATCATCGTATAGACTTTTAACATGTCATGGTCACCATCACCAAGGTCACCAAGAATCCTTCCCTCTTTCTTCCATGAATTTCTGAGTAAGTTTCATTATTTTAGACAAAAAAAATCAATGAACATGGGAATTTACAGATAGGAAAGTTAATTTGCTGATAGGAAAGTTTACCATGCTTCCTTAACTCACACTCCAAACAGGCAGTCACATATTATTTTTACATGTTATACAGCCTTTAGTCTAGAGAGGTAGGGTAGTATAGTGGATAGAATGCTAGACTTGAAGGCTTCAGTTCAAATTTCATCATTGATATTGTGTGACCCTAGACAAGTCATTCAATTTCTATTTATTTCAAACAATTCCTAAAGACTTATTAATGAAGTCATTGTTGAGTTGTAATTTATTTACATCAGTGAAGTCAAACTCAAATAGAAATGAGGCCATTAAACCACACATAAGGATCCTTGTGTCCCCATAGACTTAGAAAACCACAAAATAACATTATCTATGTTCTATTATATTTTCATTTTTGTGAAATATTTCCCAATTACATTTTAATCTAGTTTGGTCTTCTGAACTGGGGAGTGTTGCTGGACACAATGCTTGCAGGCTGTGTGTTTGACACCTCTGATCTACATGACTTTGGGGGATTCCCACACCATCCATTCCCCCCATTGATGACATTATAGCTCCTCTGAGCATTCACCTAAAACATCTAGGTAGAACGCTAGGAACTTTTAAAGTTTACCTCATGAAATACAAGTGTTTGTTCCTAGTTGATATTCCACTTCCATATTTCCACAGACGTTTTTGTCTTGCTCTCAAATCCATAAACTTCTCTGACAATGTGGTATAATGGAAAAAGGACTGAATATGGAGAGAGCACTGACATTTATGTGTTTTCTGAATTGCACCTAGTAGTACCTTTTGTCAAATGAATTTATAACCTTACCTCACTCAACCTCTCTAAGCCTCAGTTTTCTCATTTGAAAACTGGGGATGATGATATTTACAAAACCTCTATCATTTCACAGGGTTGGTAGAATTAAATAAAACAGTATGTTGCAATTGCTTTGTAATCACGATATAAATGTCAGATATTACTATTTTTACAATTGGCATCAGTTTAGGCAGGAGAAAAGAAAGACATGTCTTTTAATCTGTTACTTTGGGCAACAAACCTGACACACGGGAAAAGATTGAACAGTGAGGGAAAACTAAAACCCACTGGTGAGGGAACTTACGGATCAAAGGCTGCAAGCAGGAAGTTGAGCAGTAAGCTGATAGACTGTTCCACGTGGATCTGGTGGGTGGTCGGCATCCTTTTGTTGAGCTGGTAGAAGATGGTTGAAAGCACAGCCTCCAGACGGGCCACATTTAGTTCTATATTTGGGTCTAGGCTGTTCAAGGCATTTTCCCTCAGAGCTTCAATGACATTCCAAATGTCCACCAGATGTACTGTATGTAATCAAAGGAGATTCATCAAATTCATGAAAAAAACCCCAATTTTTTAGAAAATATTTACCAAATTTTCCAACTGTGGTAGGTTCCTTCAGGGATCAAGTTCCTTACTTCCTTAGTGTTATTCCACAGCATCCTGTTAAAGAACACAGGATGTGTTCTTTCTCTCTCAAGCTCTCATTTTCACTCCTATTCCTTCCAGAGTCTGGGGTTTGTCTCTCTTCTTAGGGCCAATGGCATGTCAGATAACTGGTGATGTCTAAAGATGGAATGGGACCAGTGGAAGTGTTTATGCTAGGGCTAAGTGAACACTTGTTCAGGATATTGTTGAGGGGACTCTTACATAGGTTATGAAGTTGGGATCAGAAGACCTTTAAGCTCCCTTCTTGTTTGATACTCATTAATGCTAACACCTTCCTTCTGTTAATTATCTCTAATTTATTCTGTATGCAACAGAGCAGCCAGTGTAAAGATTTGTTTTATAGCTAAAACAGGGTTTTTTAATCTAGGGAACCATCTTGGGGTTAGTAAGTCAATAAACATTTATTAAGCATTTATATGTGCTTGGGACTGTGTTAAGGGCTGATGATACAAAGAAAGGCAAAAGACAGTTCCTGGACTAAAAGAGCTCCTAGTCTATTGGGGGAGACAACATGCAGACAACTATGGAAAACAGGATACATTGGAAATACAGGATAAACTGGAGATAGTCAACAGAGGGAGGGGCAGCTAGGTGGCATATTGGATACAGTCCTGGGCCTGGATTCAGGAAGACCCCCTTTGTGAGTTTGAATCCAGCCTCAGGCACTTACTAGCTGTGTGAACCTGGGCAAGTAACTTAACCATTTTGCCTCAGTTTCCTCATCTGTAAAATGAGCTGGAGAAGGAAATGGCAAACCACTCCAGTATCTCTGCTAAGAAGACCCCAAATAGAGGCATGAAACGACTGAACAACAACAACAACAGAGAAAAGGTGCTGGAATTAAAAGGGTTAGGAAAATGTTTGTAGAAGATGGGAATTTAGGTGGCACTTGAAGAAGCCAGAGAAATCTAGGGGTGGAGATGAGGAAGGGAGAGGCATGAGGGACAGCCAGTGAAAATGCCAAGAGTTGGAGGATGGACTGTCTTGTCTGAGGAGCTGCAATAAATATCTGGAGGCCAATGTGACTGTATTATAGAGTATGTGGTGTTGGGGGCAGAGGAGATTGAGAAGGAACAGTCAAATGGGTAGAAGTAAAACTAGAAGAGAGTAATGTCCTGAAAACCTAGAGAGAAGGTTTCAAGGACAGGGTGATCGACATGTCAAAAGCTGTAGAGAAGTCAAGAAAGAAGATGATTAAGAAAAGATCATTAGATTTGCTAGTTAAGAGATTATTAGGCATTGTCAATAAAGTAGTTTTAGTTGAAAGACCAAGTTAGAAGCCAGACTGTAGAGAGTTAAGAAGAAAGTAAAAAGAAAGGAAGTGAAGATTTCTATTGCAAATGGCCTTCTCAAGGAATTTAGCCACAAAAGTAGCTAGAAGGAACCCATGATCAAGTGAGGGTTTTTTGAGGATGGGGAAGACATGGCCATGTTTGTAAGCAGTGGAGAAGCAGTCATTATATAGGGAGAGATTGAAGATAAGACAATGGAGATGACAGAGGAGGGTGATCTTCTGGAGAAGATGGGATGGAATGAGATCACTTGTGCATGTAGAAGGGTCTGTATTGGCAAGGAGAAGGGCCATCTCTTCATATAAGACAGGGCTGAAGGACATAGGTGACAAGGCATCTGAGTGATGTGAGATAAGGAGAGAGGAGAAAGTTTTTGGTAAATGACCTCAATTTTTTTGGTAAAATATGAGGCAAGGTTCTCAGCTGAAAGGGTGAGGGGAGGAAATGCCATGACAAATTTGAGAAGGGTTAAAAAGATTTGGAAAAGGTTTAGGGTGAGTGGGACGGTGAGTTTATTAGGGAGGTGTAAAAGGATTTCCTTGCAGCATTGACGGCCCAATTGAGGTTATATAACATACATTTGTATCGGATGAATCATCATGGATTTGTGATTTTATTCACCTTTGTTCAATATCATAGATGTAGAAATGAAGGCAACAGATGGTGGGAATGATGCAAAACTAAGGCTTGGCAAGGGCGAGATGAGTGATACAATATGGGGGCTAAGGGCTCTGGAAAAGAGGTCAGTGAAAAGTTGAATTCGTTTGCCAATGGGTGAAGACGGAGAAAAGAGGAAAGTGTAGCTGGTGCAAGGGTGAATACGTAGGAGTACTAAGGGAGAAGCTGAAGGATTGGAAGTCATGGTGTGGACTCTTTCTTCCTGACTCTGAAGTTAGCTTTTCTATTGTGAGTACTATTATCTTCATTTTACAGATAAATTATCTGAGGCTCAGAGGGGTAAAATAACCTACCAATGGTCACAAGCTAGTGAGTGTCAGAGGTAGATGTCCAACTTTGGTCTTCCTGACTCCAGGTCTGGCAAAAAATTCACTATGTTATATTCTTTCTCTTGGATTTATCTTCTAATTAATCTACAACTAGATACCTTCAAATTGTGGCCTTATGTATCCAATACCTAAATTAGTAAACATCTTCATGGGAATTATTTCTAAATGGGAGTTGTTCAAGGAGTTCATGAATCAATTCAATGAGCTTACTGTGAGATGAGTCAATGACTGGAACTTCTAAGAGTCCATACCAATCCTCAGAGGATAATATATTGAGAGTTCCACACCTATTAACGACTTATAAAGAAAACAAAATACAACTGATAAAGTGTTTGACTGTGGTTAGTTCCAGGATAAAGTAGTTGGCCTACATGTTTGATTGGGTAGACTTTGGTGGAAAGAATAACCAATTTTGTGAAGGCCAATAAAAGTGAGGTGATTAGACTGCATGTCCTTTTGCCTTTCTTTAGGAGTGCAAGAGAGCTAAAAGATAACTTAAATATGGGAAAAGGGGAGAGAAACCTTTGTATGAGCACAGTCTCTCTTCCTCCATACTGCAAACCCTACCCCTAAGTGGCTACCTTAGCAAGAAGTACATGGAAATTGCATGTCCTTATCCTCTTGGCTCAAAAAGGAAATTCATAAAATTGGACTTTTCCAGTTCAAGAGATGGTGGTAGCTAGGAAAGTGGTAGAGTATGGAGAGTTACTGCTGAGGCACATGCCACCTTTTGATAGAGGACAACGTGTTCTTACACATGGCCCACAACAGCAATTTAAGACAATGCAATTATTGAACTCTTTCTTCCTAGTTCAAGTAGAAGTGGTTTCTAAACTTTTTCTGTGTCTTCTGCTGGCCTTCATGTTTTGTTTGTGGCTTCCACAAAACTCCCCCAAAATTCCCACTTAATTTCTTATGCTAACCTGTCTACGATATATTGAAACCATGCTAGAGAAAGTTGTGATGTAGAGGGATAACTGTAATTACATATTATGCAAGGTGCCCAAAAAGTCTTAGTAAAGTCAATTAATAAATATTTATTAAACTCCTACTATATACCAGACATTGTGCCATATTGGGAATATAAAGAAAGGCAAAAAGATAGTCCCCTTTCTCAAGGAACTCATCACTTTTTAATGGAGGTGTCAATGTGTAAACAACTATGGAAAACAAGCTATATACAGGATAAATTGGAGATAATCAACAGAGGTAAGGTACTAAAATGGAAGGACTGAGGGATGGCTTCTTGTAGAAGGGGAGATTTTAGCTGGGACTTGAAGGAAACCAGGGAAGCCAGTAGGCAGAGATGAAGGGATAGAACACTCCAGGCATGGAGGCAGGCAGTGAAAATGCCTGGAGTCAGGAGATGGAATGTCTTGTTCAAGAAATGGCAAAGAGGCCAGTGTTCCTGAATCATAGAGTACATGGTGGCAGGGGAGTAGGGCTATAAGGGGGTAAGCTTACTAGAAAGGTAGGGGGCTAGGTTAATGAATGGCTTTGAAAGCCAAAGGATTTTATACTTGATCCTGGAGAGAGATGGAGCCCCTGAGGTCTTCAGAGTAGAGTTTCTCTGTTTCTGGCAGTGTATCTATCAGGGTGAAAGTCCTGTTTATCAGAAGCTTAGGTACCATATCAGGTAATGGGGAATGGCTCTCTTCTTCTTCTCCCTTTAGGCCGTTGAGCCCTGGAAAGTGGGCTTGGGGTTTTGGTCTGTATCATGTGATGGAGTCGGTGTCCACCCACCCACCCACCTTCATTCTAGAACTGTGGCCATAATAAACTTGAAGGCAGGATACCAGGTCAAATGCTGCTGTATGCCCAGCCCAAGGAGGGGGTTGGGGGCAAGGGGTGGTTTATATTTGGAACTTGGTGAGACCAAGTTATATAGGAAACTTCAAACTCTGAACTAAGTCCCCTTCCCCTCCCTAGGGAAAGAGGTGATATAAAGAAGGATTATGCTCTCTTTCTCCCTCTTTCTTATTGGGGGAGGAGTGTTTGTATGTATATTCTTACTATACATCTGAAGTAAATATTCCTTTGTAAAAGTTAATCTTTTAAGTGATTAAACAGAACTGAGGTTTAGGGGACCCTTAAAACTGAGGGAACACACAAAGTGGGGGCTTCAGCCAATAGCAGCAACTATACATTCCCAAACACCCTTACTGCACTGAAAAACCTTGAGGAAAGAACAAAATTAACATACCTGACTCTCAGGCAGTGGGGGGTCAGTAGTCATTGGTATATACACATATACATATATTTACTTTTGTTGATGTTGAGGTCACATTACACAACTGAACTATAATTTGGTTATTTTCCTTTTCAAATTGAACCAAAGTAATTACTTGTAAAGTCAGTAGGAGGTAAATTACTCCTACTTCAATATGTTATGTAACATTTCATATACTTTTGTTAAACTTTATCAAGGTGACAATCTAGCACTCAAAACAAAGACATTTAAGTTGCAATATTTAACAAGATACTTATATCTTTTTTAAACAAATAAGGTTATATGTTTTTTAAATTTTAAACTATTTTGGTATAATGTGATTTTAA